CGGCGCTCGAGGAGCCCTTCAACTCGCCACAGCCCCTCTCTGGGCTGGCCGAGACTGGAGCTGCCTCCCTCTGCTTGCGGGGAAGCATGGAAGGACAGGCGCGGGCTGGCACCGGGGCTGCGCGCGGCGCGCTTCTAGGCCAGCGCGAGTTCCGGCGGGCGCGGGTAACGGCCGGTCACCCCTGCCGGCCCAGGGCACTGAGCGGCTCACCACCCCGGTCAGCAGCTACAGAGGATGCGCCGGGTCTCCCAGCAGTGCCGGCCCACTGGCGCTGCGCTGGAGTTCTCGCCGAGACTCAGCTGCCTCCCCGCGCGGCAGGGCTCGGGACCTGCAGCCCACCGTCCCCGAACCCCCCCACCCCTACCCTGCGGTGGGCTCCTGCGCGGCCCGAGCCTCCCCGATGAGCGCCGCCCCGTGCTCCACGGCGCTAGGTCCGGTCAACCATCCAGCACCTGAGAAACACAAGTGCACGGCGCGGGATTAAGCCGGCAGTTCTGGCCCCGACCACTCTACGGTATCCATTAAATGAGGCCAGCTAGCTTCCTGAGTCTGGTGGGGACTTGGGGGAACTTTTATGTCTAGCTAAGGGATCATAAACGCACCAATCAGCACTCTGCGTCTAGCTCAGGGTTTGTAAATACACCAATCAGCACTCTGTCAAAACGGACCAGTCAGCGTTCTGTAAAGTGGACCAATCAACTCTCTGTAAAATGGACCAATCAGTAGGATGTGGGTGGGGCCAGATAAGGGAATAAAAGCAGGCTGCCAGCGCTAATTAGTAGCAATACGCTCTGTCTTTTTGTGTGCTGTGGGAGTTTTGTTTTTTCGTTGTGTGTAGTATTGTTGTTGGTGACTCTCTGGGTGTATGTTGACTTTAGAAGCTGCAATACTTGCTGTTTAGCGGTCTGTAGCGTCACTCCTAAAGCTTGACTGAGGCCACGAATCCACTGGGGGGAATGAAAAACTCCAGATACGCTGTTTTTATAGGCCATTAACACTTACCACGTGGGTCTTGCAGCTTTGCTCCTGTCAGGGCAAGACCACGAATCCACTGGGGAGAATGATAAAACTCCAGATACGCTGTGTTTTCGCTAATGCTCACCACGCAGGTTTGTAGCCTTGCTTCTGTCAGCGAGACCACGAACCTACCAACAGGAAAAAGCCCGGACGCATGCAAACGTCTGTAGTGGAATAAATTTTGGAGAACAATCTTTAAGAACTGCAACACGTGCTGCGGGGGTCTGCAGCTTCATCCTCTAGGTCAGCAAGACCAAAAATCTATCAATTCCGCACGCGAGAGAACCCCGGCAACAGACATAAGAGAAAACACCACAAAGCAGTCTATTCAGTTTAGGGTTAGTTTCTGTTCTAATTAAACAACTTCCTCACTTTCTTTTTATGATATTTTATCCTACAGTGGAAGTGAAGGGGCTTTATAAATCTGCCTGACATTGGGTTGTAGTCGTTAGGCAGACAAACTTGAAACATGGAAGAAACACTGAAGGCAGCAAGAAGAGGAATCGGGTAAAGTGGCTAGGAAGACAGGAATGCGGATTGAACTCTCCAGGTCTCCAGCCTGATATAAAACCCATACATAGTTCCTGGATCCCAAGATACCTACTTGTCTCTATCCGGAGATTATGAAAGCCGGCTGAGGATCTTAATTTAGGTTGTATTTCTGTAAGTGATATATTCATTTGGCTTGGCTTTAGACTTGGAGCCTAGCTGTAGTAAGGATTTAAGGATGATGCTGAAATGAGAATTTTCAAGTTAGATACAAAGGAATTGTCGAGCAGCCATTAAGCCCACGAACTGTAATGCAGCTGTTTGCGTTCATGCTTACAGCGGAGCATTGGAAGGAGAGGATGAAGGTGGGTTTGTTGCAAAGTGAAGAGGGGGGGTCCAGAATCATGGTTAGTACTGACTTGCAGAAAGGGGTGAAAAAGTTCACCTTTGCTTGCATTTTGCTTTCGCTGAAAAAATGAGAAGAAGCAAACAATGGAACAGGAACCCTTGTCTCCTTCAGACTTGTGTCCTTCGTGTCCTCTCCAATTTATAATTCACTTACCAGTTAAGATTCCAAAGAGAAGCATCACCTGTATGCAGGAGGTGGGGGATAATTTCCCTCACCTCATCTTGAAATAATCCACGTGGGAAGTTATCTAGAGTGCCTGGGTTCTAGAGCGGAGATGGGTTCCAGAGGGGGCCGTGATGCCTGGTGTCTCAATGGGACGTGAAATTGTAGAAAGAATTAAAAACTCGCCAGGAGCAGGATTCTGGGATAAGTAAGATCAGTTGGGGTAGGATCCAAGACAGTGAGGACTGGGAACGCTGGATTCATGGTTTCTGAGGGTTGCTCCAACAATATGTCTGGCTCAGTTTCTTTTCTCACTTGACCATAGCTGTGGCATTATAGTTGCCACCAGGCAGGGGAGGTCACAACTTCTGGACCCTCCCTCTCCAGGGAGGGACATCTTAAGGCCCTGACAACATGAGGGAAGAAGCAGGGAGCGGGAGAGAAAACAAGGGGATCAAATCTGTGAGAGGAGACGAGACCCACCCTCCCAGCCACAGGTCAGCAGAAACCGGTTTTCTCTGGGGATGTCTCATTTCTGGGACAGAGGCCTTTGTAGGAGGCAGAGGGGAGAAAAATGGAGGTTACTGTGTCCCAAATCATTGGATCTTCTTGTGCCAGCACCTCTCCAGGGACAGCTGTGAGGGGAGGTTGCAGAGCCTGTGACTATCAGGCCAGTTAATGTGTGTCAGGGGACAGAGGCTGGCAGAAAAAAACCCTGCCGTGGGATACTGGCGGTGAGGCCAGAAGACGACTCTGGACGTTCAAGGGACTGGAAAGGGAGGCCTGGACTCTGGAAGAAGAGGCTGGACACACTCTCGCAAATCTAAATTATATTCTGTTCCTTAGGTGGTCCATATAACATCCCACCCATCTAGATTGGGGCTGCCTCGGTGTGAGAACCTGGCTCCACTGAGGAACAAGGTGAATGGAGAAAATAAAGTAAGTCTTCTATTCCATAGGAGCCGTGTGGGTTTGAACAGGGCGCTTCTCTGAGCCTCGGTTTTCTCATCTGTGAAACAGGCCTCCTAACTCGCAGGGTGATGGGAGGTTCACAGGTGCGATGTAAGTGAAAGCACATCACAAACGTGTGTCAGTTTTATGGCCAATGTCTCGGGGGTAGGAGCG